AATCCAAAAATTCAAAACCATGGAGCCGGGAGGCCGCCTTTTTTGGATTTTTTGGTTTTCTCGAGGTTTTTTTTGGTTTTTTTGGAAAAATCCAAAAAAAAACAATGGCTTTTTTGGATTTTACTTGCTCCTGGCCTCAAAAACCTAAAAAACACATGGTTTTTTTTGGATTTTGAGTGAAAATCCACAAAAACCCTCGTGTTTTTTTGGATTTCAGGTGCTCCTGGTCTCAGAAACTAAAAAAACACATGGTTTTTTTTGGATTTTCACTCAAAATTCAAAAAACAACCATGTGTTTTAGGTTTTTGAGGCCAGGAGCAAGTAAAATCCAAAAAAAAAACCATGCCTTTTTGGATGGATTTTTCCAAAAAAAACCAAAAAACCTCGAGAAAACCACAAAATCCAAAAAAGGCGGCCTCCCGGCTCCATGGTTTTGAGTTTTTGGATTTTTGGATTTTTGGGTTTTTTTTTAAAGCAAATTTTGCAAAAAAATGCTTTTCTTGTATAAAGAATGTGTATTGTTATACGTTGTTTCTGCTAATGTGACTGCCTTGCACACACACAGAGAAAAGCACACAAACACACCCACCATTCGTTTTTTTTTTTTTCAATTCAGCCTATTCGGTATGCAGGGCGTGGCGTTAACATGTAAAGTTCCATTAGATTTAATTACGAATGAGGCTTAGAAGAGGATGTCTTGGGATGTGGCGTCTTAATATGAAAAGTAATAAAAAAAAGAAATGGAGAGGGTTTCTTAGGGTGTGGTTCTTTTGAGGATGTGGACCTGCAATTCAAAAGTCTAATTGGACTTAAAAAAGAGTGGGGCTTCGAAGAGGATGTCTTGGGGTGTGGCCTCTTAATTTAAATGTCTATTTAAGTGGAATCACAAAGGAAGTCCAGTTGAGGATTTCTTAGGGTGTGGTGTTTTAGTGCAAACCTCAAATTACATTTCATTACGAAGCGGGGCCAGAGGAGACTTTCACAGGGTGTGGTCGGTAAAATAAAATTCCAAAGAGGTAGTAACGAATGAGGCTTAGAAGGGCGTGGCCTCTTAATTGTTTTACTTGGTTTGGTTTTACGAACGAAGCTGTGGCTTTAGCATACACAGGTCTTAGGGTGTGGCCTTTTAAATTCTGTCCAAAGGGGTGTGGCCTCTAAACTTAAAAATTAATTTAAGTGGTATTCCAAACGAGTCCAGATGAGGATTTCTTAGGGTGTGGCGTTTTAATACAAACCTCAAATAACATTGTAGTATGAAGCGAGGCCAGGGGAGAATTTCATAGGGTGTGGTCTGCAAAATAGAATTCCAAATAGGTATTAACCAATGAAGCTTAGAAGAGGATGTCTTGTGGCGGGGCCTCTTAATTTGTTTGTTTGACTTGGGTTTAATTTACTAACGAAGCTATGGCTTTATCATATACAAGTCTATTGACATTTCACTAATAGGCACCAGAAGAGGATTTCATAGGGTCTAGCGGTTAAATATGGAATTGTAAGTACATTCAAATACGAATGGGGGCTCATGATATAAATTTCTGTCCAAGAGTTACATACGAACCTAGCCTAGGTCAGAACTTCTTAGGGTGTGGGCTTCTTACCTAGCATTATAAACTTCTTACGAGATTCTGTTACGAACAGGCCCCAGAATGGTGTGGCTTTTTTTAATACAAGCATCTTGGCAAATCGAAAATAAAATTCTAATTAATCTTCATTACAAATAGGGGCCAGAAAGGGATTTCATAGGGTATGGTCTGCAATATAGAATTCTAACTCGGTTTCATTGCGAGGAGGATGTCCTGGGGTTGGCCTCTGAATACACACTTGCTTTACTTGGGTTCAATTACGAACGAAGCCCAGAAGAGGATTTCTTAGGGTGTGGGCTTACAATATGAAATCAAATTGCGTTTCATTACGAATGGGGCCAGCGAAAGATTTCGCAGGGTGTGGGAAAAACAAAAATGTTCTAAATAGGTATTAATCAATGAGGCTTAGAAGAGGATGTCTTGGGGCTGGGCCTCTTAATATGTTTTTTTACTTGGGTTAATTACGAACGAAGCTGTGGCTTTATCAGACACAAGTCTACTGAAATTTCATTAAGAGGGCCCAGAAGAGGATTTCATAGGATGTGGCCTTTAAGTATAGAATTCTTTTCGTAGGGTGTGGGCTTCTTATGTAGAAGCATTTTCTCAATAAAATAGGCAGGAAACCCAGATGAGGATTTCTGAGGCTGTAACCTCTGCATATAAAGCTCTTGTGAGATTTTGTTACGGACAGGCAGGCCCCAGAAGAGGATTTCATAGGGTGCGGCTTTTAATTGGCAAATTTAGATTTCTAAAAAAAAATTACTACGAATGAGGCCAGTGGCCTTTTAATTTTCATTCCGACTTAGGTTTAAATCTCGCTTCGATGGGCCCGAAAGGCCTTTCGACCTAGATCATGGGGGGGGTGAGCATATATATATATATATATATGTTTGTATGGTCCCCCCCAATGGACCAACCTCTACATGTGAAGGCTCCTGTATGCAGTGTCTACTCGGATGCATTCCCTCTATATTGTACTCAATATGAAATATGGGCTTGGTGCCACGTGTGCGGAGAATCCGGAAAAGCAACACAGATCAGAAAAGCCAAAAACCCGAAAACCCAAACATCCAAAAACAAGCTTGGATTGTTGGATTAGGGAGTCGCATTCGGGGTTAGTCCAAGTGTATTTTGCACTTTGTCTAAGCAATCTCACTTCCGAGAGTGCATCCATATCAGAATTTCATTAACATCCTAACTAGTCGCAACATGAACATGGCTATAAATGGAGACCAAGTTGCGTGCTCGGAAAAATGTTGAATATAGGTTTTCTGTATATGAACACCCTGTATGTCTTTAATTCGCTAACACAAACATGTGCGCGTGTTATGCGCAGGCGTTCATTCACGAGATTTAACATAAGCAGCTTGCATCTGTTAATATATAAGTTGCGCGGATTTTGAAAGAAGCTGAACAAGCATTTTCAAGAAGAACCACTAAAGGACGTTAGTGTACTCTTTCAAGAAGTGCCTCATTCATGAACACCCTTACCTTTCGATAACAAAGTGCCTTAGCTTTCTGATCGTCAACACATTATAACATTGTATCTCCCATTCGTGATGTGATAGTAGAGCCTACTAGAACCTCATTAACGTCTCAAGTGCTCCTCCTAACTAGCCTGCTCAATAAGGCAAAGGGATTTTGGACGTGTTCTGTGAAAGCAATAGGGCTCAGGTCCAATACATGGCCCTGAACAGTCCACTCGAGCGTCAGGGACTTGCCGTGGTGAAGTGACATGTCGATTTTTTCTAGGGCGCATTTCATGATGTAGGGTGCGATTGAACTCTTACTGTAATCTTGCAAGCGGAACCCCCTGTAAGCATTCCAGGCAGAAGTGACAACCTCTGCACGACTGCACGGAGCACGGATACTTCTTTGGCTTGCAGGACGTGTGTGTTTATCCCTAGTGCACTGTATGTTTTCCAGATTCTGGACCATACGGGCCATCCCCTTTTCAACTCAAAATCATCAAAATCCAAATAATACTCGAAACCCCAAAATCTAAAATTCAACTGAATCAAAATCCAAACTTTCCTTAGAAATCCTCCGGCGAGGGAATTTTGGGTTGGAAACTCGAGGAATTTTGGATTCCAAAAAACCCCCCCCAAGGTTTGGATTTTTGGAAACTCGAGCGGGAGCCTCAAAAATCGAGCTCCCGCTCGAGTTTCCGAAAATCCAAAAATCCCAAAAAACCCACCCCAAGGTTTGGATTTTTGGAAACTCGAGCGGGAGCACGAATTTTAGATTTTGAGGCTCCCGCTCGAGTTTCCAAAAATCCGAAACTTGGGTTGGAGTTTTTGGAATTTTGGATTTTTGAAAACTCGAGGAATTTTGGATTTTTTGGATTTTGAGGCTCCCGCTCGAGTTTCAAAAAATCCGAAACTTGGGTTGGAGTTTTTGGAATTTTGGATTTTTGGAAACTCGAGGAATTTTTGATTTTTGGATTTTGAGGCTCCCGCTCAAGTTTCCAAAAATCCGAACCTTGGGTTGGAATTTTTGGATTTTGGGATTTTTGGAAACTCGAGGAATTTTGGAGTGTTGGTCTTCCACCCCCTTCCTCGACAGACTGGAAATACAATTCCGGGGCCTGTCGTAGGGGGGGGGGTGACCATATATTTATATATATATATAGATATATTTATATATTTAAATATTTATAAATGTATATATTTGTAGTATCGCTCCAACTAGGCATTGCGATACGGTCGGCGACCAACAACGGCACGCATACTTGGCCCACGGGCGGGAACAGTGCAGCACGGCGACGCACGTCAAGAAAAAAAGGCGGCCAGTCACAAGAATAGCAAGTATTAGCAAGTGCTCAAGCCACACAATGCCACACACACACACACACACACTCGCGAATTCGCCTCGGCTCCAGGCCAAGAAGCAGAGAACGTGACGAATCCTGTAATAATATTTGATTGGTATTTTGCAGTAATAATATGAATAGTATTCCTGTTGTTCGCTGCATTTATAGCAGCGTACATTTTGCTTATAACAACAATTGACCAAGAACTGTCTCTTCTTCCCACCTCCCCTCTTCTTACGCTGCTGGTTTAAGGTGTCGGGTTTACGGTTTACGGGTTGGCAGCGCTGGAGCTCTCCAGCATGTTCACCTCGACCCGCGCTCGCTTTCCGCATCCGCAACCGGAGCGGACAGGAAACCCCGAGATGCACCACTCGGACCGCCGACTTGCAAATCCCATGGCTTGGGCTGGCAAGGAGGAGCGAACGGAACGATTCGTGATGCTAGTTCATCGAAAGACGTTATAAGATGCTAAAGGCATTGCTCTGTGAATCTTCTTAACGAGGTACAAGTTCCTAAGTATCAAAACAGATTCTGAAGGTGCGGGTGACTACGTCCTCTTGTTCAATGTTTCGGTTTTCTTTTCTTCTTCTAAGGATCCAGATATTTCATATAGATTGATGCCGGCTCTTCACTCTTGACGCACCTCCGAGCTCGAAGATCTCCTTCTGCCGGTCCATGCTGCTGGCCCACACTACGGGAGCCTGGTCCATTGGGAGAGGAGAGAAAAGCAGAGACGGAGGCAGACGCTGGCAAAGGGGTTAGGGGAAGGCACTGCGAGCCTCCGAAGCACAGCCGGTCAGGCCTGCGGAGCTCGTGCGCATACACTAACTCACTAAGATGAAGCAAGGGCACAGCAAGACAGCAAGGGTGTGTTAAATGCTGCCCAAAGATGCAGGCTAAAACACAGACCTGCGGCGTTGATGGCGGCCACGCTGCAAAGGCATCCGGAGCAGGAAGGCAGCTGGTCAAACCTGAGCCCACTTTTCATGAGAAACACAGGGATGAATCAAAGAAGGAAGGTCCAGAATATGAATGGACCAAAGAGGCAGATGCTTGGCTGGATGTTTTGTAAGATGCTTGCAGCAAGGAGCTCTAGGCAGCACACTTCACGGGGGCTTTTTGTGTTCGAGGGCCTCTGGACCTTTCGCCAGATCCGCCAGGCTTAAGCCGCTGCAGCGCATACGCACTAGCAGCCACTAGCAGCCACTAGCAGCCACTAGCAGCCACTTGCAGCACTGGCACATCACAGCTTAAGCACCCTAACAACGCCTGTGCTCGAAGAGTCCCAGGTCAATGAACCCATCTGCTGGGAAGAAACCACCCAAACCGTCCTGACACAGAGATGTCCAATTAGTAAAAGACGGTCCCCGCGGAGTGCTCCGCAGAGTGCTCCCTGTCCTGGAAGACCGGTCGCAGCCAGATCCTGCAATCTGCAGATATCTGCAGTGTCCGGGGTCAGCAAACCGCAACACAAGCACGTTGCCTGTACGCAACAAGATCAGCGCCACCGCTTTCTATCGGGGGCTCCCACTCGATGCTCAATGCCTCAGCACACGGCGCAGCTCAAATGCGGGGGTCTCTGAGTCTCCGAGTGCAAGGGGGCGCACAAAGCGCCTCAACGCGTTGAGACTCTGTCACTGTTGTGGCGGATTGTAGCGGATCTGGTCTGACAGAGACATGCTTCGTGCTGAGACTCCCGGCCGTGCCCGGCTCTCCCTCCCCTTCCACGGCGATGCGTGCTTCGCCGCAGAGACCAGGGGCCACGGGCCCGGTCTGCCCAATGACCTTCCGTAGAACCCGAAAGTGGCCGGGGATTCGCCAAGTTGCGGGGGAATGTGCGCGATGTGCGGAAGCCATGCGACTCTTCATACTTCCGTATAAGTCCGTTAGTCCTGTTTGCCGAGCCTCAGCTGCTGGGCCTGCGCCAGCCTGGGACGAGACACTTGGACGGCGCTCTCGAGCAACGATGTCTCGCACTTGCAAGGTGTGATGATGGACACATGCTCGATGGCGAGTGGAAGCCGTGTGCAAGCTTTAAGCAGCGTCTTGGCAGCGGGAGTGGGTGTGCTTTCGTATACAGGTGTAGAAGCTGCCAGTCATGTTTTTTCTCCTTGTTGCTATCTCAGGCCCGAGGCTTGCAACACACAGACAGACAAGCTTCAACGGTAGGATGCAGCAAAATAGCTTCTAGTAAACCGATGTTTCTTTCTGCTTCCCTCTTTGTCGTGCGTTGAGGTAGGCTGTGCGCAATGGATCCTCTGTCAAGAAAAAAGGCTGTGCCCACCCCCCCTTGTCGGGGGGGTCGGGAAATAGGCGGCCCGTGCATTGCCAAGCTGCGAAAAACCTGACGTGACATCCCTGAACGCTTTGAACGTTCACAGATCCTATGCGTTTGCCACGGAGGCTTGAGACGGGCCTTGCGCGCACCAAAAGTGCACAGCGGAGGAATCGCCATTTGGGCGAAGCTGCACAGCAACGCAGCATGAGCGCTCTCGCTTGTGTCGATGCAGTGTTCTGGAGTCGGGACTTATGCTAACACAGCAAGTGTAACTAACAAACCTTTGGCCGGAAAGGAACTGCTTTAGGAACACCCATGTTCAATTTGCCCGCTGGCCTCGTTGACAGCCCAAACACGGATCGTGTACACCTCAATGACACAGAATCAACAACCATCATGGTCCATCATGGTGAAGACGTCGAACAAGCATGGACAAGCTCTGAGCAAAGATATGCCAAGATACCGTGTTGCCAGACAAGTTCTTGAGTGTGACGGAGGGCTCCGGTGATGCTGGAGCGCTCGCGGTCCTGAACGAGTTTTCAAGTTTCCCCATTGCTCGAAGCCTTTGAGCCTTCGAAGTGCCTCGGCTCATCAGGCAAGTACCCCACAGGTGCCCCGGTCGAGATGCGGCCGCCGGATTGAGGCTCGCGCGCCTGACCATGGGAAGCACTTGAGGAGTTGTTTCTGCCAAAAGCTGCCAAGTATTTGAATGACATGAAGCACGCGAACCTCGATCCGATACCCGCCTGAGCTCATGTGGGGGGGGGGGGGGCAGGATGGGTCTGGTGAAGAGCCATGGACCTTTACGTATAATGTGGGAATCCCTGGGTTTTGAGGGTAATCTTACATACAGATACAGAATGAAACAAATCACACAAAAGACGCGCCAACATTAAAGCACAGACTTCCCGTCTCAGAAGCCGTTATTCGATAACTCCTGAGAAAATGCAAAGTCCTCAGCGACTGGTCTATAATCCTAGAAATCAAACACACCAAGTGGGAGTAAGCCGCCAAATTTAAGCATAACACGCTGAGATCGAAGGTCTAAACCAAAAGCAACAACAGGTTCTACAAACGTTGAAGCCAAAAACCCAAACGAAAAGTAAAAGCTCAGCTGCATTATTTACAAACCCTTGAACCAAGAACCAAAGTCCAACTTCCGACCTGCAAACGCTGAAATAGCACACTGGGTGGTGAGATCATCTGAAATCCTACCTATATAAGTATTCGGGCGCAAGATTCAAAATCATGCAATGACTTTCACGACTTGAACTATTCATGCGCCGAGATCCGAGCCGTGAGACAACATTGAGAATCCGGAAGTCCTAAAGACTTATAATGTAAACAATTTCAGTACTCTACTAAATTTGACAAGTCAAGTGACCCCCCCCCCCCACTTGAGTAAGTTAGTAGGGAGTGGGACTTCACAATCTAAATGGCCATGAATGAAAATGTCTGAACCCTACTCCTTTGTTCGATGATGTACATACCCCAAACAAAGCAAGAAACAAAGTATTTCAAGCACATTAACTCAGTTTTAAGTACGTCAGCTAATGCAAACTTCTTGGTTAAGAATGTTTGCCGGGAGTAAATTTACATAGTAAGTCGTAACCCCTATCTAAACAGGGCATAGGGCTTGGATGATTTGTCCAAAAAACAATGAAACTCATCTATTGCAAGTTGTTAGGAAATTTCCATGTGCCGAAACCCGAGCCGTGAGACAACATTGTGAAGCAGGATTCCCCAACGATTCAAAACATTTCAACAATGAACATAACAATACAGTTGTTTAGTGCCTGACAAACCAGCTGAATCTGGAGTAAGATTTCAATGATTTGAATGTCACCTAAGTAAACGACGTACAGCTTCCTCCTTCTTGGAAAAATTGAATCGGGAGTAGGGTTTAGACTTGAATGGCTCTTCCTTGGTTTGTTTCAATCCTATTCCTTCTTCAAATAGTCTAATAGGGCGGCGGATTTAAACAATTTTAGATACAAATCAATCCAGGTCTTCAATTGTTAGAGATATTTCGACATTGCATGAATACAGTATATCTAAAGCACGGGAATTCGAGACGTGAGACATCATTTAAACAATTTTGTTGCTCTTTATTCATTGGCGCGCGCGCGCGCGCAAAAAAGACCACCCCCAACAGACTCCGGAAGAAAAAACACAAGGACCCCATGAAGAATAATGTGGCAGGCGCAGCGAGTTTGGCATGTCGCGAGCAAACCCCAGCGCGCGCTGCAGGAAGAAAACTGGTCACGATTTCGTGACCAGTTTTTGGGGCCAACTACCTTTCCAAGTGCCATCTACAAAATTATGAGAGCAAAGTGGTCCTGTAGACCCCTAAACCCCAAACCTTAAGCCCCAACTCCAAACCCTAAAACCTAAACGCAACCCCCCAAGTCCAAAGCTTAAGCCCTAAACTTTGGCGCAGCGCTGAGGTCAGGGGAATGCAGGAAGCGTGGCAGGCGCAGCGAAATCGTGTCTGTTGACCAACCCCAGCGGTCGCATCCAGGAAGCAAACTGGCAACATGGACATAATCATCGTGCGGGCATGGATGCCCCTGGATTTGTTTGCCCCGCCCCCCAAGATGGGCCCAAGATGGGCGCCAGAAGTGACAGACCGCGCTACTCTGCGTCCCCTACCCCTGCCACCTTCTACCCTGCCCCTGGCCTCTGCCGTGAAGTGCTAGCCCGTCCACCCCCTCCCTTCCAGCCCTACCCCCTAAACCGCCTGGACTTGTTTGCCCTCCCCCCCAAGATGGGCCCAAAATGGGCCCCAAAAGTGATGGACTTGTTTGCCTGGAGTTGTTTGCCCCGCCCCCCAAGATGGGCCCAAGATGGGCCCCAGAAGTGACAGAAAGGCCTGGACTTGTTTGGTTTTTCCCCCAAGATGGGCCCAAGATGGGCCCCAGTATGTACATTTTTTCCAATATGTTAAATCCATTTCGGTGCGCCGAAACCCGAGCCGTGAGACAACATTGGGCACCCCTAATTCCCGACGATTAAAAAACATTCAATAATTTCGAACTTGTTGAACACTCTAGACAATTAGATTGACACTCACTTGAAAAACAAGGAGTGCGATTTAGACCACATGACTCTCAATGCAACGTTTATGTCCCGCGCCTTTTCCAAACAATGTAACAGGGAGTCGGCGGAAGAGGATTTGAATAATACAGTGGCCCCTAATTGTGTTATATTGGCATTCTACTTGATTAGGGCATAGGATGACCAATTCAGCTTTGGAAAACAACAGCGCAGGACCGATATATGGTTGTGCGCTGTGCGTTCTAGCCCCCCCCCCCCCCCCAGGTAGTCTCCCCTAAACCAACCCCAAACCCTATGCGGAGATGGAACTTGTATTTCAAGGAAGGTTGCACAAAGGGCAATGACCCAAGGATGGGCAATGCGCCTTTCAGAAGAAAAAAATCATTGTGCGTGCGTGCGTGCGCGTGGGGGCGTGTGTGTGTGTGTGTGTCTCTGTGTGTCTCTGTGTGTGTGTGTGTGTGTCTCTGTGTGTGTGTGTGTGTGTGTCTGTGTGTGTGTGTGTCTGTGTGTGTGTGTGTGTCTCTGTGTGTGTGTGTGTGTCTCTGTGTGTGTGTGTGTGTGTGTCTCTGTGTGTGTGTGTGTGTCTCTGTGTGTGTCTCTGTGTGTGTCTCTGTGTGTGTGTCTCTGTGCGTGTCTCTGTGTGTGTCTGTGTGTGTGTGTGTCTCTGTGTGTGTCTCTGTGTTTGTCTCTGCGTGTGTCTCTGTGTGTGTCTCTGTGTCTCTGTGTCTCTGTGTCTCTGTGTGTGTCTCTGTGTCTGTGTGTCTCTGTGTGTGTGTGTGTGTGTCTCTGTGCGTTTCTCTGTGTGTGTCTCTGTGTGTGTCTCTGTGTGTGTGTGTGTGTTTTTGGTTGGTTGGTCCAGGGTGAAATTCAGGGCTTCTGTTGGGGTGATTGGTTGGTTTCCCTGTTCCCCCTTTGGTTGCCCCCCGTAGGTTATGAGCCCAAATTAGGCTCCCGTTGGGTTTAAGTAAAAATTCTGCCGTTGTTTGTGGCCATGGATATGCGGCGCCGTCGTTCTGAATCTGGACTGTCACCAGAGGCCAATGATGCCGAAGCGGAAGAACTGCAGGTGACGGGGGTGAAAGGGCGCGACAAGAGCCCGCTGCACAAGCACTACTGGATGGAAGAGAGGTTGGAAGGCTGCCACCTGAAAGTCAATCCCAAACGGGTGGTGAAGTGGTTCCGCTACAGGCTGTGAATCCTTTCTGGAGTGACAGGGTGCAGGATGAGATTCGGCTGAGACAACAAAGGCCGTCAAGCCTTCCTGCAACTGCTACAGATAGGAGTGGTGAAGCACCAAGGAGGCCACCATCGCTGCCAGAACCGCGTGAGCTACAAGGTCCGTAACCAGCTGATCGTCCTTCGTCAGGAGTGATGGGAAAGATGGGAACTGATTCCTGACTCAAGAGTTACTGACCCTACTAGAAATGGCACAGGTCAAGCACGCCATCAAGGAGCTTCTGCTACACACCAAGGAAATTGGAAGCAGGCTGCATAAAGTGGAAGAAGAATTATAGCTCTGCCACTTCTGGTTCGGCCTCTCAGCCAAGAAGTGCGGGGGTGGTAGATGGCAACCTGGTCTCGCCGGTGGGAGTTAGTTTTGGAAGGCAGTATCCGGCAGGGCAGAAATTTTACACTGATGGTATAGGAGGCTTTTGGACTGTGACGCCAGAAGGGGACATGATACCCTTGGAGGTGTATGACCTACCAAGGAACTGTTCTTTGCTGCCGTTGTCGGAACTGGGAAATGAAGGAGAACAAAAAGTGGTTAAGGAAGAAGTGCCAATGCCGCACCTACCAGTGGGGAGGAAACCTCCTTTCACTTCCTCCACTACCTTATCCTCTACCTGGTTCTGGAGACATGGCTTATACTGGCGAAGGGCCAGGGCTCCGTCGGCACGAGATTTCGACAATGAGGCACTTGCAAGTAAAGCTTCCCGAACAACCTCTGGACCCTGGACACGACCAGTGCTCAGCAAAGCGTCGTATCTCGGAAAGGTCGAGTGGAAGCTCAAACCCTTTTATCCCATCAGCGGCGGGTAAATCCCGCAGGAACCAAGGCGCACCCACCTGGTTTTATGTCGGCAAGAGAAACATCGTCGCACGCAGATGGCGGAACCGCAGCTGGTTTCACGACGGTGGATGGAGTTCC